CCCAGGCGCCCCAAAGAGAGAAAGAATCTTTTTTTTTTTTAAATGTTTTATTTATTTCCAGGAGAGAGAGAGAGACAGCGTGAGCAGGGAAGGGTCAGAGAGAGGGAGTGACAGACTCTGAAACAGGCTCCAGGCTCTGAGCTGGCAGTCAGCACAGAGCCCAATGCGGGGCTCGAACCCACGAACCGCGAGATCATGACCTAAGCGAAAGTCGGACGCTTAGCCGACTAAGCCACCCAGGCGCCCCAAAGAGAGAAAGAATCTTAAGCAGGCTCCATGCTCAGCCACCTAGGTACCCCTTCAATACTTCTAATACATGGACTAGGATTGATTATATTTCTTTTGAGATAGGTCACATATTGCAGATTCTTTTTACATAAATCCATCCTGGAGAGGGTGCTGGACATTGTGAATGATAAATTGCGGATTCTCAGAATCCTGTTTTGTTCCTCTGGGGAGGAGAACTGTTTTGGTTTGTTAGTGTTTGAGGCAGGTGGTGTGGCTAAGCTCACTGCAAATTCTGTCCCTCCTGAGGTGGGGAATAACTTGACCAAAGTAACACAGCTAACTTACGAGTGAAATAGAGCTTTGACGGGGGATATTTACTTCTCTAAAGTTTCATCTGATGTTTAACAATTCTACCCCAGGGGCATCTGGGTGGCTCAGTTGGTTGAGCGTCTGGCTCTTGACTTTGGCTCAGGTAACGGTCTCATGGTTTACAGGATTGAGCCCCATATTGGGCTGTGCACGCTGACAGCATGGGGCCTGCTTGGGAGCCTCTCCCTCCACCCCTCTCTCTGTCCCTCCCCTGCTCATGTGTGCACAGGCTCTCTCTCTCCCCAACTTGCATGCCCTCTCTCTCTCTAACAAAAAAAAACCCATACATTTTTTTAAATTTTTTATTTATTTTTTAATTTTTTTAAATGTTTTATTTATTTCTAGGAGAGAGAGAGAGAGACAGCGTGAGCAGGGGAGGGTCAGAGAGAGAGGGAGTCACAGACTGAAACAGGCTCCAGGCTCTGAGCTGGCAGTCAGCACAGGGCCCGACGCGGGGCTCGAACCCACGAACCGCGAGATCATGACCTAAGCGAAAGTCGGACGCTTAACCGACTAAGCCACCCAGGTGCCCCAACCCATACATTTTTAGAATAAATTATTTGAGACAGACTTACTCCAGAAATAAGTGAAGACAGATCAAATGAGAAAAACCAAGGCCATCTATGCAGAGTTTTCTAGAGCAAGGGGGACAGCCACAGTCCCTGCATCGTAGCAGAGCCTTGAAGGCCGGCAGAGGAGTGGGAGAGCTTCTAGGGGAAATGGGGAGTCTGCTGGTTTGCATGGATGGGAACCTGGGGCCCTGGGGAAGCTGGAGATGGGCTAACTAGAAGCGAGGGTCTATGTGACTCGTGGCGAGATAATATATTGGGCTCTCTGGTGGGTCCTAACTTGGAAGCAGGGACAAACATTAGGGAAGCCATCTGTTATTAATCAAGTCCTGGCCATTTGGGGCCAGCTGTTAGAGAGGCTTTTGGTTTGCTGGCTGGACTGTCACAAGAGACGGCAGGCTGCTCCCGTGGGCCGATGATGGCTTGGGTTCCTGGCTGCTTGTGGGTCAGAGCTCTATTTCTATATATGGTCTGACCACTGTCTGTATATCCAGCCTCTCATTATATTATTCGGGACATACGTACACTAAGCATCTCTTCAGACGTGCCTCTCTGAGCACCCAGGAATGTCAGCCCAAAAGCACAGAGTAGAAACAGGGGAGCTCAGCGGGCGCCGGGCTGCCTGGGTTCCGGCACCTTGCCCGGTGGCGCTTACCTCACGGGCTGGTTGAGCAGGTACGTCGGGGCCCCACTCGGGGCCCTCTCTCTGCCCCTGGAGTTGTCTGCGCTGCACAGGCCAGACGGGCTGAGGGGTCAACACCCCCCCAGAGGCAGCTCTTCACCGCGGCTCCTGGGAACTGGCGTGGAGGCACCCGGCTCTCTCCTCGGGGTGGGATCAGGCAGGTGTGGAGCTCCCAGAATCAGCCCCAGCTGGCCACGGGGCTGCCTGCTCCTAGAGCAGCCTTGATTGGCTTCCTTCCCTTCTCAGTCTTAATTGCCTACTTTGTCACAAAGAAGTTTCTGGGGAACCCAAGCGAAGAAGACAGGTGGAGATTAGCTGACCCCAAATTGAGCTCCCCAGAAGTGTTAAATGCAGGGCATACAGAGCGAGGGCTGGGGCTGTGGGCCAAGCAGAGACAAGAAGCAGCGGAGTGGGGCCTATGGTGGCCGCCTCTGACGGCTTCTCAAGGCTGGGGCCCCAGGGCTCACTCTGGGCTCAGAGGGTGAAACTTCCTCACTTCCCAGACACCTTGGCGCCAGATCCCATCCCCTGAGGTGACCCCCACATCTTTGTCCCTTGAGACCGGAGGAACCTAACTGGCCTGGTGACAGTTCTGCAGATTTGGGGGGAGAGCCTCCTTCCGGGTTTCCTGCTTTTGGCTGTTGTTGCTAAAGTGTTAGAATCCGTGTCCTTATCTTCTTCAAAAGGAATAACTCTGCCTCAGGGGAAGTGTGGTATGAAAGTTAGTCACTTCCGGGATGATTTCGCCCTTCCTCGTCACCCACGGGACATTTAGCAACGTTGGGGAGGGGACGGGGTGACTGGCATCTAGTGGGCAGAGGCCAGGGTGCTGCCCAACAGCCTACAATGCACAGGACGGCCCCAAAACAAACATTCGACCCCAAATGTCAGCAGTGCCGAGGCTGAGAAACTGCTCTATGGTGAGCAGCCCTTATCTTTATTTTAAAAAATTTTTGTTAAAGTTTATTTATTTTTGAGAGAGAGTCAGAGACAGAATGAATAGGGGAGAGGCAGAGAGAGAGGGAGACACCGAATCCCAAGCAGGCTCCGCACCGACAGCACAGAGCCCGATCCGGGGCTCGAACTCACGAACCTGAGTTGAAACCAAGTTGATCATGACCTGAGCTGAAACCAAGAGTCGGATGCTTAAGTGACTGAGCCCCCCAGGCGCACCCCCCCCCCCGCCATCTTCATTTTTAGTTCAAGTTGGGTTGGTTCCATAGGAGGTAGTCCGCAAACAGGGGCTCGTTCGTGTCAGGTCTGCTCTGTCTAGGCCATCGAGGGCCGAGGAGGATTGGGAAGGGCAGGGGAAAGGGTGAGCGGGCTGGTGTGGACGGAGCCTCGCTGGCACCGGGCGCTGGAGTGGTGGCACAGGCCACTAGCTCTCCTGTCCTGGGTGTCTTGGGTGTGGCCCACGTCACATCAGCTACAGCAGAGTTTGTGGAGGGTTCCCGCATAGCCGCGGTAATGCATCAGGCTTGGGTCTCTGGGTCCTCACAAGGACTCCTGAGTGCAGGACACCATTCTCCTCTTTCATCAGGTCAGGGAAATGAGGCTATGCCGGGTGAAGTGCTCAGTCAAGGTCATGCGGTGGGGCAGCAGTGGGACTAGCGGTCTGACCCGAGCCCAGGATCCTCACCACCGTGGTAATGGCCTTTCTAAATGCTAAGTCACAAAGTGTTTCCACAGCTAACTCCTGAAGGAAATTCAGAGCACGGGGCTGTGGTCCAAGCACCTCTCACCGCATGGTAATCTAGCCGTTAGCCTGCAAACGTGCCTCTTCTCGAAGCTGGGAGTATTGCCTCCTTCTGCAGAGGTCCTCCCAGCCTGGCATGGAGCCTGGCCCACGGGGGGCACACTCAGGCACTCTGGCTCCAGAGTCTATGCTCTTAGCCACTGCCCATCCCGAAAGCTGTTTTATAAACCCATTTCTGGCAATATGCTCAAAATTCGACGTGAAAATTCTGTGGCCACCCCATGCACTATAACATGCCTCCGCGGAATTCCAAGGACGGCCTCTCCTGCCTGCCTCTCCACCCCTTCCCTCTCCTCCCCAGAGCCCCTGCTGGGGCTGCAGTTTGGAGCACGGCCGACTGTCACCCTCCTGGCATCCACGGGCAGTGCTCATGTACCCTCTGCCACCCCCACCCCCTCCCCGCCCCGCCTCCCCTGCTCCGCCAGCTGGGGCCAGGCAGAGGCAAAACAGGCGCTACATTCAGGGGGTGCGCGTCCAGGTGGACACCTGAGTGAATGCCCCTTACCTTTTACTCCCAGGAGCCTCACTTGCCCTACTCTGTTCTTGACCTTCCTTAACACACGAGCAGCATGTCACCGTCTGCTTGGGTCCCTGCGCTCCCCGTGTCTGCAGGATGAAGCAGGGCTGTGACTCATTTACTTGGTTAGGGAAGGAGGGAGAAGCCAAATGGGAGAGAAGCAGAAGGGCTGCAGCAGAGTCTTACATAGGATGGGGCCATTCAGAACAGGCTACGTGGCCGCTAGGACTGCCACCATGTCCCAGACGGAAAGGAGGGCGGCCAGCACTGCCCTCTGAGGGTGGCTGGGTGCCTGCACAAAGACTTCTTCGTGGCTTCCTCCCGCTGGCTTAGGCGGTCTGAGCAGCTCTGCTCTGCGTAGCCCAAGCAATCCAACTAGACCCCGAGCCTCAACTAGCCCTTCCTTGACTTCATCTAGCCCCGATGGCCACAGCCAGCCCCCTATTCTCAAGGCTTTCCTACCCCCACCTGCCCCATGGTTTCCTGCCTTGCTTGCCTAGTCATTCTCTTGCCCAGACCTTGGATGCCTTTACCCACCAGCTGCCAGGACCTTCCTACAGTTTCAAGAAGCCCAACTCAGCAACCTCTCTGATCGCGGCCTGCTTCCCCGGGGTGATCTCCCCAGAGGCCTCCCATACTGTCTGGTCTCCCAGAAAGAGGGAGAGGCTAATGTTAATGTTCAGTGAAACCTACCCTGGGGCGGGCCCCGGGTCTCAGCAGAGCTGAGCTCACGAATCTGCACAACCGCACCATGCAGAAGGTGTCCTTCTCCCCATTTTAGAGACAAGAGACTGAGGTTCAGAAAAGCTAAGGCCCAGCATGAGATTTTATTTTTAGGAAATGAAAGACATTTAAACTCCGTTCTGTCTGACCTCACAGCCCCAGGATATGCCACCCCTCCCCTTTGAGGTCCCCTTTAAGAAGCGTGCTGACCCCCAAGGCCCAGCACATGGCATCAACCCCTGTGTGGCTGGCGGAAGGAAGGAAGGCCACGAGCTGCGCACACCTAGCAGGTAAGCACTCGCAGATGAGCCCAGTGCGCGGACGGGTCTGCGCTGACCTGAGAGAAGGGTCTCAATCAGCAAAGAACAGGAAGCAACCTGCCAGTGTCGTTCCGGAGCAGCGCAGATTTCCCAAAATGAGATCTTTTTGGGTGGGAGATGTCCCTCTTGGACTGTGGGTGGGGGCGTCTGTGGGAGTGAGACCAGACATTTGCATTATAAAGGTCTCTTTCCATGTGTTGCCTTGCAGAAGGCTCCTAGGCCTTCAGATGGCTGGATCTCCATGGAAATTTGCAGAGAGAAAGGAGCTATTTTAAGGACAAGCGAAGATGAGGTCCTGTAGGCTGGGGTTAGGGAAGGTAGCTGTGGGAGAGAGCTTTTCTGAATGACTCACTAACTTCCCTCCCATCGAGGTGGAAAAAACTGGCATGGAAAAACAACGGAAACCCAGGAACAAGGAGGAGCAGTGTGGCTGACCCCCTCCCTGCAGGGGGAGGTGGGGGATGGCACGGAGCCGCAGCGGCGCCCCCAGGACTGTGTCGGGGGTGGCGATGCTGGGTGTGAACTGCCATTAGAATACCCATTACTATGATACTTTCCCATCAGCATAAAATCCGCCGTTTGAACCAGCTTTCGTATAATCATGCAAGGAAGGAAAAATTTGCTTCTTAAACAATGGCTGCAGTAACTTCTCCCATTGCAGAGGGCGATGGAATGCACCTTGGGGGTAGGAGGTACCCTTGTAAGAAAGCGTGTTAATCAATCTGTCTTCTCGGTTAGGGAGCCTGCTGAAGATTAACTGAAACAAAACACAGGTCAATTACTCGAGGGATAAAGAAGTGGGAATTTCTGGGTCCTCGAGTCATCCTGCCGCAGGATGGTGGTCGGCTGCTTGAGAGCACAGCAGATGCGGCAGGGAACTCTGGCTGGAGCGGTCCCCAAGAGTGGTGGCAGGCCGGAGCCCAGGGAGAAGGTGGTCGGGGACCCCGAGGGGGTGTGCAGGGCTGAGAGGCTGGGAGGACAAGGGTGAAGGCTTACGTTTCAGTTTCCAGTGCCAGACATCGCAGTGGGCTCTGTTACACACCAGCTGACAGTCAGAGCCCGGTTGGTGCTCAGGCGGCCCGTGGCGGAACTTGGGGGAAACGCACGAGGCGCATCGCACTTGCACAGGCCACTAGAGCTCAAAGATGATGGGGAGTCCAAGGTACACCCCACACTGCTGGTCTTCAACTCACTTCCCCTGGGAAGCCTCAGAAATGGTGGGGAGGGCCTGGACGTCCATCCTGGGTGGGGGTGGGAGCTCCAGCTCTATGCTCTTCCTGTCCGTGGGCAGCTCCAGGTGGCAGAGGGCCCACCCATGCTGGCAGCCAGTGGGTCCCTGGGAGCCGAGGGTTATCACACCCAGGTCCTCAGCTGTGGGGTGATGGCTGCGGGGGTGCCTTAAAGGATGCCTGGGTGTCTCCAGCCACCCTTCCGCCTTGGCCCTTGGCCTACTGAGTCAAAGGCTAGTAGTACACAAACACTAGGGTGTTTGTGCGTGAGGAGCAGGAAGTGAGCTTGCAGGTCGAGGGGGTCCCATCTGAGTGCAGGGAAGAGATGCAGTTGCGGTCGGCTTTCCCGTGCATCCGGTTTGCTCCGCGGCTGCCAAGAACACCACTCCTTCCAGCTCGAGGCCTGGGGTCTATGGACCCGAGCAGAGGCTGAGTAGCCTGAGGCGGTGGGGACAGCAGCCGGGGCCGGAGCAGCCTGGAAGTGGGGCCATGTGCACCCACACTGGCCCTCCCTGAATGCAGGGAAGGGGAGGCCCACAGCCTGGGGACTGTTTACATGTGTTCACAGTCTCCGGAGCTCAGCCAGGGACACTTACAAAAGCCAGGAGGCCCTGGCAGCTCCAGGACAGCAGGCGGTGGTGTGTGCGTGTAGAGGGGAAGGTCATTGGCGGAAGCTGGCCGGCAGCACGGAGTCTGGAATCCGCAAAGCCGTGTAACATCTACTGCTGCTCCTGGTCTCTGCCCAACTTCAAACCGGTTCTACAAAGTCCCCCGTGTCAGGGTAATGCGTGCCCCTCCCCACCATGAACCTCAACATCCACTCCTCCCCTACCTGCTGCTCTGCGGCCCCAGCAGCCTGGAAGCATGCCTGGGGCTGAGTGTCAGGAAAAAATGCCACACAGATGAGATGTGAGTGAGAAAGGCACAATTTATTGGTCACACAGACTGACACACACAGGGACGTGGGGTGCGTACCCAATTCTCCTGTACTCACGCTTCTGGATTTGGTTTCCTACACTAATTCTGAATGTCAAAAAAGCAACACAGGAAAAGACATCACCAACCTACCCTCCCAGTAACGAAGGAAGCAGAGCCCAAGGCCACGGAGCTCGGAAAGAGACGGCTACACTATTCTGAGAGCTGGAACGGAGAGGCTCACCCTCCCTGGCAGTCAGGCAGGAGAGCCCAGCTTTGGGGACTTTGGCAGAGACTTCCCTATTAGCACAGCGAGATAAATGTTGGGGAGACTGGCTCAACCCACGGCCTGGCGATGGCTGTCCCCCTTGAGGAAGGCCTGGCCATCTCCAGCACGGGCTGAAGCTGGATGTCCCCCCGCCCCCCCGGGGAGTAGGAACTGACTTTCCTTCCCCTTCCGACTGAAGCACTGAGCTGAGATCTCTTCTCTCTGCACCAGCTTTGCGGGACTCTCCCGCCCCCCAGGGCTGTAGCTAAAGCAGTTGGCATCACTGAATCTAGACAAGGCCAGGTTTGTTGTACCCTAAATTAACAGCTCACTCTTCAGCTCCCTAAAGGCCAAGCCCGTCTCGCTCCAGGAAGGCACTGGCCTTAATTTTTAATGCTTTGTCCAAACCTCTCAGAACACACTGTTTTGAACCAGGGGTCTGGGATGTGGTTTTGGTCAGCTGAAGAAGGCACAACTTACGTTTGTAAAGTACTTAGCACAGTACCTGGCATGTGGTGAGTGCTCCATACATGCAGCCATTATTATTATGAATATTATTATTATTATTATTGCATATCTCCACCTGCAAATCAGCGCTTTTAGTTCCTTTCTTTGAAATGATGGCCGGAACAAGGCTCAGGGATCCCAAGTACCAAGATCAAGCTGGGGGCCCAAGTACGCTTTCCCTTCCAACCTTAGCATCTGGTGCCAGGTTTCACAGCCAGAGCGCTCCACGGCCACACAGAAGTTAGGCCCTCTCCTGAAAAATAGTAAGCCCTGCACAGGAAGCTAGGTAGGAGGAGCCAACAGCGGGTCCTGAGAGACGGTCCGAGTGGCTTCACGCTGTTCCTCTGGGCTGCTGTCTCGCTGGCAGCTTGCCAGGGGCGTTACTGTGGGACAAGAACAGAAGACTGTCAGTGCCTACATCTCCACCAGGCCAGATCTCATGAAAGGTGCCCACGTCCTTACACGCGGTGGGCTAGCTCAGGCTTCCTTTGACACGGCGCTAGAAAGAGCCAACCTGCTGTTCTACGTAATTGTATTCTAACATATATGCACACGTTGTTATGAGCATATATGGAATATGCAATGTATAATATATAGTTAATATGTAAATTATAACATAGTCATAATATATAATGAAATGCAATCCTCCCTCTAGGCCTCTGGGGCAGATTCCATTAATAGCCCCTTTTTTACAGATGAGTAAATTGAGGCTCAGGGCACAGAGCTAGGAAGTGGGAGAGCTGGGATTCAAACCCAAGACAGCCTGCCTCCAGAGGCAGTTCGTAACCACTATGAGTTTTGTGCAAAGAGAAATCTATTTTATAGGAAGGAAGGAAGGGGACAGTGCGTCTGAAGTGTCCCGAGTACTGGGAAACACGTAAGCTCTAATACTAATGATGGCGGTAGCGAGATGTAAACGATCAGGGGTCTTTGTGTTTGTGAGTCTGAGTTCCCGAAGGCCAGGCACAGCAGGGCTCGGAGGGTTTGTCCCCAGCGCCTTATTTGGCCCTTTTAGTGTAGGAGCAGGGACTCCAGGGCCAGACAGGTCCGGGTTCAAATCCTGAGATCTGGACCGGGGGCTGGCTGTCTTCTCACACGCATGCGCACGCGCGCCCCCGAGCACGCCTCTCGGGCCCGGCCCCGCCCCCCGCACAGCGCGGCCTCCGCGCACCTGCATGGCCGCCCTGCCCAGCGGCGCGTCGTCGGGCCGGTGCTTGGCGTGGTGGGGCAGCTCGGCGTTCTCGCGGTAGTCGCGGCCCTTGGAGTGTTGCAGGTGCAGGACGGCGGGGCTCTTGATCGGGAGGGGCGGCCGCAGGGGCGGCGCGGGCGGGGTCGGAGTCGGCTGGCTCAGTTCGGACCTGGACGGCTTGATGGGCCTCTTGGCCGGCACCGGGACTTGGGCGCTGGAGGCGGCCTTGGCCTTGGCCTGGCTCTTGTCCCCGCCCGCCGGCCGGCCCTCGGCGGCGGAGGACGAGCAGGTGAAGGAGCGGAGCCGGGGCGTGGGGCTGAGGAAGGGCGCGGGCGGCGGCTTGCCTGTCCCCTTGGTGCCCTCTGCCTCCTGGGGTTTGGGGAGCAGGATGCTGGGCGACAAGATTCCTGGGTCCGGGCAGGGCGGAGGCTCCTTCCTCCCCATTTTGGGCGATTCCTGCTCTTTCCTGGGAAGCAGCTTTGGGAAAGAACTCACAGACCCATAAAGCGGGTTCTCAAACATCTCAGGCTTGGTCAGCTGCGGGTCCTCCTGAGGGGAAGGTTCCGCTGAGCTCTTGCCCGTGTCGCAGGGCCTGAGGGTGGCAGAGAGGACACACAGACGATAAACACGTTTGAGCAATGGCTGTGTGTATATATATATATATATTTTTTTTTAAAGTTTCTGAGAGAGAGAGACAGCGTGAGGAGGGGAGGGGCAGAGGGAGAGGGAGACACAGAATCCGAAACTGGCTCCAGGCTCTGAGCTGTCAGCACAGAGCCCAACGCGGGGCTCGAACCCACCAACCGCGAGATCATGACCTGAGCAAAGTCGGGCGCTTAACCGACGGAGCCACCCAGGTGCCCCTAATTCGGATAGGTTTTCCTTTGGGGTGACCAAGATGTTTGGAACCGGATGGAGGTGGTGGTTGTTTTGAATGCCACCGAAATGTTCACTTGAAATAATTTGGGGGGGTGCCTGAGTGGTTCAGTCGGTTCAGCTTCTGCCTCTTGGCTCAGGTCATGATTTCAAGGTTGGCGGGTTCCAGCTCCCACTGGGCTCTGAGCTGACAGCAAAGAGCCTGCTTGGGATTCCCTTTCTCCAGCTTTCTCCCCCTCCCCCTGCTCAGTGTGTGCTCTCTCAACAATAAACATAAAAATCAAACAATAATAAGATGGTTAATTTGGGGGCATGGAATAAGCTAAACGGGTGATGGGTATTAAGGAGGGCACTTTAGTTGAGTACTGGGTATTACATGTAAGTGATGAATCACTAAATTCTAGTCCTGCAGCCAATATTACACTAAATGTTAACTAGAACTTAAATAAAAATTTGGGGTAAAAAAAGCATCTAGCAGTGATTTTCCTGGAGTTTCATATAAAAGATTTCCTTCAGTTTTGACTATGATGAGGAAAAAAATGGAATATTTCTTTTTTTTAACATTAAGATTTTTAAAAAATGTTTATTTTTGAGAGAGAGAGA